GCTCACCTACACCACTGAAGACAACATGTGTCCAATTTTCAGCCTCCTATCTAACCGTTTGGGCTGTGCGTTGATTGCACATAGCTTTTCGTTTACCGAATTTTCCACCGGAAAATCATTATTATTCAGGCCGCAGGAAAAATATTGAAAATCCAAGTATACAGTTTTTTTTGTATTCTTTGTGAGAGTATACAAACTAAGTTTGAAGTTAATCGGATAAAAATTGTAGATTTTTCATACAAACGTTGGAGCTCGTTTTCCCACCTTTGGAGCTCGAATTTTCCGAAACCCCTTCTTAGTGCTCACTTTCACTATAAGAGGGATCTTGTGTCCAAATTTCAGCTTCCTAGCTCTTACCGTTTGGGCTGTGCGTTGATTGCCAATCAGTCAGTCAGTCAGTCAGTCAGTCAGTCAGTCAGTCAGGACAAACTGTTTTATATATATAGATATTAGGTTGCATTTTTTATTAGATTTAATTTCAATTGCTGTTGCATCAAAGTCATGGGGAAGTGATATTTTTTTGTTTTGTATTGAATTGTGTATTAAAATGGCGGTACCTCCAAAACTGGGCGAGTAGTTATTACAGTAAATTGAATAGCAAGAATTGGAATGTCATTTAGGTTATGTAGGTGAGTTTCTTGTAATGCTATTATGTGTGGATGTTCATTTTTATAGCCTGTACCCAAAGGGTGAAAGGCTATACGAGTTTTGTGCGAATGTATGTAACACACAGAAGGAGGTGTGGCAGACCCCACAAAGTATATATTTTCTTGATCAGGGTGGCAAGTCGAGTCGATTGAGCCATGTCCGTCTGTCCGTCCGTCCGTCTGTATGAGCGCAAGGATCTCAGAAAGTACAAGAGCTAAAATTACCAAACTTGGTATCCAGGTTCCCCTAAGCCCTAGGCAGGTCAAGTTTATTTTTATACCCTGTACCCAAAGGGTGAAAGGGTATACTAGTTTTGTGCGAATGTATGTAACAGGCAGAAAGAGGCGTGGCAGACCCCACAAAGTATATATATTCTTGATCAGCATGACGAGACGAGTCGTTCTAGCAATGTCTGTCTGTCTGTATGAACACCTGGATCTCAGAGACTATAAGAGCTAGAGACACAAAATTTTGCACAAAGATGCGTTATATGTGTACGCTGTGCAAGTTTGTTTTATGTTTTTGATTTTCCCCCCAACTTCCCCCCTATGGGGGTTTTCCCGATTCTCCATTCGTATAATCGCCTATATCTAAGAGACTATAAGACCTACGGACACCAAATTTTAGTCCCAGATGCCTTATGAGAATACACAGAAAACGTGTATTTTGGAATTTCCCTCCCCCTCTCCCAAGCAAATCGCGATTTTCTCTAATAAATAAATTTCGAACTAAAAATTGTAAATACCCCCAGTTAGTAATTATGTGTCCGTACGCCAAGTTTCATCATGATAGACCGATTTAACAAGAAGTTATAGCCATAAACATATTTGCTGCTGCACCGCTGCTCAAGCGCTGCCCAAGCGCTTCCCGCGGCTGTTGATGTTGCTGTTTGGTTGACTGCTAACAAGTTTACTCAGACACGAATATACGAGCATATACATACATATACTCACATAGACGCAATTGCTTTGTATATGTGCAATTATACACCCTTTACGTGTGTTCGAATACCAAAGAGGTAAAAAGAAGCATCTCCGACCCCATAAAGTATATATATTCTAAATCAGCACGACGAGAGAAATCTATCTAGACATGTCCGTCCGTCTGGATGAACGCAAGGATCTCAGAAACTATAAAAGCTAGAATAACCAAAGTTGGCATCCAGATTCTCCTAGGTCCGAGAAAGGACGAGTTTATTTTATTTTTTGGAATTTTCCCCCCCTTCCCCCGCTACAGAATTTCGTCAATAGCGTCCACATTTCAAATGCTACCTAAACCAAACTTTGCACATATAATTTATATATAATCTACTGTAGTCTACTGTTGTTCAAAATTTTATTGAATTCGGTCAATTCTAAGAAAAGTTATAAGCAAAACAAATTCTCTCCAGTACAACCGCCCCAAACTGCAGCAACAAGTTCGCTCTTCTTCTTCCTCTTTTTGCTGCTGCTATGGGCGCATACAACTCAGTGACGGAAGTTTACCTGGGTACAGGGTATTACACTGTCGGGCTTCCTCGACTGTAGCGTTCTCTCTTGTTTTTATACCCTGTACCCGTAGGGTAAAAAGGGTATATTAGGTTTGTGCAAAGTATGTAACATACAGAAGGAAGCATCTCCGACCCCATAAAGTATATATATTCTTGATCAGCATGACGAGAGAAATCGATCTAGACATGTCCGTCCGTCTGTCCGTCCGTCTGTCCGTCCGTCTGTCCGTCTGGATGAACGCGAGGATCTCAGAAACTATAAAAGCTAGAATAACCAAAGTTCGCATCCAGATTCTCCTAGGTCCGAGTAAGAACGAGTTTGTTTATTTTTTCTGATCCACCCCCCCCACTCCCCCCCCCCCCCACCTATTAACGATTTTCTATAACTCCCGTAATTCTTGGAATTTTGAACTAAAATTTGGTAGTCACATTAGGCATAATGCACGATTCTGATGTAAATGTAAATGTATGTATGCATGCATGGAATATTTTATATTTAATTGAGTTAATTAATTAAATTAATATAGTTAATTAATTTAATTAAATTAATTATTTAATTAAATTACTTTTTGTGGGGTGGTACAGGGTATTTAAAAGTTGAGCCTGCTCGACTTTTGCATTCCTTTCTTGTTTTAATAATTTAATTTTTTTTAATTTTTGTTTTTAATTTTCTTTTTTTGTGGAGAGTACAGGCTATTTTACTGTCGGGCTTGCTCGACTGTAGCGTTCTCTCTTGTTTAATTTTGTTTGCTTACAAATTAGATTTGGTGATTTGGTGACGCTTTGAATTTGTCGCGGTGGGTAATAACTAAATCAATAAGCTCCGAAGTACACGTCTGATCACTACGAGAGATGGATTTGCACTGTTCTAGTAAAATTAAGTTGATGGAAAAATCTTCTTGTAAGTGCTACATACTCGTATGACGCAAAGCCAACAGAAATGAATGATTTATTACATGTATTCATTCATTTTTGAATATTTTTATACCCCGTACCCAAGGGGTAAAAGGGTATATTAGTTTTATGCGAATGTACATGGAACACACAGAAGGAGGCGTGGCGGACCCCACAAAGTATATATATTCTTGATCAGGATGACAAGGCGAGTCGATATAGCCATGTCCGCCTGTCCGCCTGTCTGTCCGTCTGTCTTTTTATATGAACGCAAAGATCTCAGGAAGTACAAGAGCTAGAATAACCAAACTTGGTATCCAGATTCTCCGAAGTTAGAGAAAGGACGAGTTTGTTCATTTTTTCTGATGCAACCCCCCACTCCCCCCATTGCTTTGTATAAGTAAGACAAAATGCGATATATGGGTGGGATCTGGATAAAATTTGGTCAGGTGATGTACAACTTTCTTTAATGGACACAAACTACATTTTCTTCAATTCGGATAAAAAACAAAAAATTTTGCGTACTAAGAGTTCATTCTGAATCGGTCAGTTATATGGGAGCTATATGATATAGTCATATGATTTTGACGATTTTCAGATATTGTCATCTGACTACCGCTAGAAGCCTGTGGCAAATATTTCAGTACCATAGCTCCACTATAAGTATTTTTGGCTGCTGATCCCACACAAGGCCGACCACAGTATACTGTGGACACCAGACACAATAGTAGTATTCAAGCACAGGGCGTACTAGAGAAATGTAAATAGGTTTGGTAGTAGTAAATTTCTTGGACCATCGTTTTATGAATCACCCTTGGCTTTATTTACAATGCTAGAAATGTAAAGATTGAAGTTCAATTTTGAATCAAAAAGCACCCCAATGTCTTCAACAGTCGATATACTTGTAGGACGAAATCCAACACAATAAAGCGGCGGGAAATCCTATGCGACTAAGCTTAAAGAGCAGAAGGTCGTGGTTTACAGAGTCAAATGCTTTACTGAAGTCAGTGTAAACGAAGGAGATATGATAGATTTGCAGAGGTGCTGCAAAGTGGCACATACTATTTTTTCAAATAGTTTTGGTATAGCGGACAACTTTACAATACCTCTGTAATTCGAAATATCAGACTTACCACCCGTTTTATATAAAGGCATTATTAAAGATTCTCTCCATATATCTGGATAGAATCAAGCGACAGATGAAAGAGTTTAAGCAATGGTTGTAAAAGGGATCTAGAAGACTCCTTGAGGGCACAACTAGGAATATTGTCTACACCAGGAGAGAAAAGGATTTTAAAAACTTGATAACGGACAGTAGACAGCTATCAGTAATAATGGGAGCGTAAACAGAGTGGGAAGATGAAATGCAATAAGGATAAGAGGTATTACTAAAAGAAATAGTGGAATATTGGGGATGCAGACATTAAAAAGAGAATTAATAGAAATAGAATCATAGAAAAACTTGACGGCTAAATTAATATCAACCGCATTATACAAAAAGGACCAATTCGTTGCTAAAATAAGTTCGTCAGGCAAAGAAAAAATAACCTTTGCGAAATCAAAACAACATGGCCTTCGGTTTTTATTCTACATCCACTCGTGGCTCACTCCAGACTTAGACTTACAGCTTTTGTTCAACTTTGTGATGCATACATACACGCATATAAACACGAAGATACACGATTCTGATGTAAATGTATGCTATTGAAATTGTATTTATTGTTTTTTTTTTAATTTTCCTTTTTTGTGGAGAGTACAGGTTATTTTACTATCGGGCTTGCTCGATTGTAGCGTTCGGTCTTGTTTTTTTAGCGTATCCAAGAGTTTGACCCGTCCGACTTTAACTTTCCATTCCTGTTTTTATTGAAAAACTTAGTTTTGAGGATTTTGTTCTTTGATACAGCTTTTCGATTAACTTGACTTTATTATAACTTAAAAGTATGACTCAAATTATTGAATTTAATTTCAGGACTCAGCGCATCATGCGACACGCTCTTGTCTGCCGAAATGACGGTGACACGTTTTCACCCTATAATCATATATAATAGTCAGATACATAACAGTACTTTGACAAGGACCTCGCGATATCAAGAGAACACAAATATTGACGGCAAAAGCAGCGAGTCAGAATTTAATATGACCTCGAATGATGGTAACGAAGTCATATACAAGTTCTATGTTCCAGATGATATTGATGTGGCAACGGCACATATTTTATTTAAACAAGCCTGTGCGGAATGTTCGGATATTGGATTTTATGTGAAAGCAAATGCATATCCCTATACGGAGTCTCGACGCGACATTCCGTCTTATGTCCATAAAACAATCGTTAAATTGGATCAGACTAATAAAACTATTATAACGTTTTTTGTACAACCGAGCTCATGGAACTATGTTGTATTAAAATTTGTCAACCAAGTAGGCAAGAGTTCGACAACGATGACGAACCATCAAAAAGAATCATATCAAAATATTCTCAATAAGAGACTGATACTGAATGAAAACATAAGTGAAAGATTACGTAACCTGTCGTATAGCTTAAGCATCCATTTTCAAAAATCATCAGACGGTACACATTCATCTGTAACTGCAGGCCATAAAGAAGCATCGGCAAGTACGCGGCACCCCACTCGATTTCGAGACATAGACTTTTACACATTAGTGCGCCAGTCATACCGCGAATTTTTTACGTTTGATTATGATCTGGAGCAGGATGAAGATGGCTCTGTACCAAAACTTCTCAATATTATTGTTAGTAGGCCTGTTGGATTTGCATTTGACGTTGGCGATGTGAACGACATTGGTGGTACTCTTACATTCGCTCTCTCCATTAAACAATCGGATACTTCTCCAGTAAAAGTGAAATCGATTTTGGGTTCAATTCGTCAAGATATGATCCGCAAGGAACAAACAATCATTGTTTGCATGCATCTTAATAGTCCTGGAATACCAACATGGCCAAATAAATGCCGCTATGACCAGTGGCTAATGCCAGCATCAAGCATAATCAAGAACACAAATTCTGAAAATAGTACTGGCATAGTGCACGTACCCTTTCCTGAAAGCGGGCGTTGGTATGTGACAATAAGCTTATTCTGCCATAGCTCTGGCTCGCCAAAACTTAGGAACATTGGAAGCATCAAAAAATTACTAAGTCAATATATACATATGTTAAGGGATATGCAATCACCATGCCCCTGCGCAGAGAGCAAATCACGAATCGAGAATTGTATAGCCGACCCTTTTTGTTTGAGCATAGTAAATGATACAGATACACTGAAGATAATGGAATGCATGATGGACAAAAGGTGCACCTCCAACTATGATCAAGAAATGGTACTGAGTTTTCATATGCAATATAAATTGGCCACGCAGCAACATTTTGAGATGGATAACTGTAACACATCGGTGTTTTTCTCTATTTCATCCAGTTCCTGTGTAGCAGGCGGCTGCGGGCGCTTTGGTCGGTGCTACCATTACATGTCAGGCGGATTTGTTTTTTCGACTTGCATATGCGCAAATGGCTACCGTGGTTGGGACTGTAGCGAGGACTCGCAAGTTCCGCCGAGCGCCTTGATTTGGCTGCAATTGCTGTTGCTTACATTAAGCAATCTACTCTTTATTCCCAGCATATACATTGCAGTGCGGCGCAGTTACTACACAGAAGCAATTATATACTTTTTTTCTATGGTCTTCTCAATTTTATACCATGCTTGCGACTCAGGCGGTGACGAGCATAGCTTCTGCTTGGTCAAAAATGGAACACTACAATTCTGTGACTTTTACTGCGGCATACTCGCCATTTGGGTAACACTCATCGCCATGGCCCATGTTAGACCACAGTTAGTCTCCCTGTTACATATGGTTGGGGCGATTTTGCTGGCATTTGGCACACAGCTTAACAAACAAAGCCTCTGGATATTCCTTGTACCTACAATAAGCGGCATCTGTATCATCTCTGTGAGCTGGGGTATCGCATGCTTAAAGACGCGCATGTTGTTCCCTGAACTACTTTACCTCACCATTTGCATCCCAATTGGAGCAGTTCTTGTAATAGTCGGCCTCGTTTGCTATGCTCTTCTTCAAACAAAACAGAACTACTATATAATTCATTCTATTTGGCATATAGTTATGGCTATAAGTATTATTTGCCTTCTCCCACCACATAAGTACTTTATAATAAAATGTTAGCTTTCGGATCGCAAATACAGTTTTTACTTATTATTCGATCATAAATGATATGTGGCTGAATATATATGTATTTGTATATACATACTAACTTTCCGCCCCTGCTTCGCACGGGTATTTTACAAAATTTTAAAAAATATAAATTTAATAACACCCACACTCACACATATAGGGTGTATCCTTTTGCTATGAGTTACTAAAGAAAGCAAAATTATAAACAAAGTTTGGATATTATTACTTTGATTATGTTTCCTGTTATTCTTTATTGAGTCAGAGCTTCTCTGTAAACCAAATTTCATGTTGTTTTATTTTACGGTAGCAAAATATATATATTTTCAGGAGCTTCGACCTGCGATAGACCAACATTAAGTTGGCCCTGAGTAAAACATTCCTTTCGTAGGTCGATCCGTACTATTCGAAGGTTTGGCCTTGGGACTTGTTAATACTTAGTTAACGCCAAACATGCGATTCTTTAATTTATTATTTTTTGTTTTAAATACTTATTCTGCTATTCGTGACACCGGGTCAGCTAGCAAAATAGAAAAGGGAAAAAGAAAGTTGATAAGTCAGCAATTACATTATGTCAAAAAATAAAAATTATAAAACACTCAAAACTCCTTTAATAGTAACTAAAAAACAAGTAAAAAAGCTAAAGTCGGGTGTTCCGACTTTGAAATACTCTGTACATATGTTTACAATAATTATAGAAAATAAAAAAAATTAAGAAAATAAAAAAAAAAATTTGATCGATTTTACCTCTCTCGGTATTCGAACTCACGTAAAGGGTGTATAATTGCACATTTACATAGCAATTGCGTCTGTGTGAGTGTATGTATGCCTATGCGCATCAATTCGTGTCTGTGTAAGCATTTTCGCAGTCAACCAAACAGCAACATCAACAACAGCCGCGGGCAGCGCTTGAGCAGCGCTGCATCAGCAAATATATTTATGGCTATAACTTCTTGTTAAATCGGTCTATCATAATGAAATTTGGCATACGGACACATAATAACTAACTGGGGGTATTTCCAAAATTTTAGTTCGAAATTCCAAGAATTACGGGAGTTACGATTTGCGGGGTAGAGGGGGGAGGGAGGGGAATTCCAAAATATACATTTTCTGCGTATTCACATAAGGCATCTGGGACTAAAATTTGGTGTTCCTAGGTCTTATAGTATCCGAGATATAGGCGATTATACGAATGGAAAATCGGGAAAACCCCCATAGGGGGGAAGTGGGGGGGAAAATCAAAAAAATAAAACAAACTCGTATAGAATACACACATAACGCATCTTCGTGCAAAATTTGGTGTCTCTATCTCTTATAGTCTCTGAGATCCAGGTGTTCATACGGACGGACAGACGGACAGACGGACAGACAGGGCTAGATCGACTCGTCTCGTCATGCTGATCAAGAATATATATACTTTGTGGGGTCTGCCACGCCTCCTTCTGCCTGTTACATTTTTCAGCTCCCGCAAACCTAATATACTCTTGTACATTTCATGTACAGAGTATAATCACAATGAAAATTACAATTTGTGATTTCTTATTATGATGCCTATTTATTAATGAACATACAACTGCAAATATTATTAAAAATCTTCAAATTTGGCATTAAATTTATCCTAGTAGTATTTTGTTGCTCCAAATGAAGTCATTTGAAAAATAACAACACTGTTGTAGGTACTGTAATCAATTGACATATCCTAACAGAAATCAGATCGAATTTTATATACAAATTTTTTGCTTTTAGCATTATGAACTAACAACATACTGTTCAGGAATTTTTAACCTTATTGTGTACACCCTTTGAAAATTGTATAGCGGGCGATGCCGTATGGTAGCCAGTTGCGATAGACGAGAAGTTGGTTTCGATTTGTAGTTCATTCAATTAAATAAAACATCACTCAACTTCACAATAGTAAGTAAGAGTGCGCAAACTTCACAATTGCAGTACAAAAGGGAACTGTTCGGTCATTTCATAGATTTAAGTTTGTTGGAAAATATTTGAATTGCAAATTTAAGTCGTTTGAATTGTAGATTTAAGTCATTTGAATTATAGACTTAAATTGTTGTAAGAAATAATTGTAAGTGCGCTCATTTCAATGTAACAGCTGTAAATAAGTTTGTATTCTCTTGCTCTATCGCTGTTAACATAAGGTCCACAACATTTGTTATGCGTATGCTAAGCCTTGCATGGCTAGCAATAAACACTCGAAAATTGAAAGTCGATTTGTTCGGTCTATTCTTTGCTCCTGTGTTCTTTAGTGCAAGCTACTGCGTTCGCTGTATATAAGTACATAAGGTACTTATATACATACCAACTTAGTTACAACGGGGGAACCTTTTACTTTTGCCTACCGGCAATATTGTATGATCTGGTTGATCATTTTGGCGCCCCCGGGTGGACTCATCGTTGACTTTGTTGGACACTGTACATTGGGTCTGGATTTATTGCTGCCATCTGGTTGTGCAGCATACATACGAGTGTTCTGAATATTGGGTTTGGACTCTCTTAATTAAAGCTGACTGGCGATGCATTGCAGCAACACACAGGGAAGTTGCACACAGGTAACGAATCCAAAGTACATAGTTGCCAATCTGTCGTTTGTGCATTAAATAAATAAAGAGAGCACTCGACAAGAAACCCTTAGCACATACATATGTATATAAATATGTTAAGTGTCTGCAAGGCACATATGTATGTAATTGTATGCGCAAGCTGCTTATCTACGAGAGTGGGCCGCGGTTTACAATTTGGCATTCGCTTTATTTAAACATAAATATATGTATATGTATGTATGTCCGTTCGTTTAAATAAATAAATTATTGCCGCACGATCTAGCAACTGCAACGGTCTAGCAACTGGGCCCGACGGACTGCGTGCAAGGCCATTCTTCGTCAGATGGATGGAGAGCGTTTCGGAATCAGTCGTACTCCGAGCCGGCGAGGCAACGATCCGGTAAGATCAAGCATTTTTGTAGCCCGAAAGGTGCATCGATCCCTTCAGACCAACGCGCGGACTGGAGCCCCCTAAAATGCAGAAGACGAGGGCGGCAATAGTTCCCCTTAACAGCGACAATTTACTTACGTAGACTTTCGTAAGGGTGCCCCTTCAGAAATGGAGCTGTTGGCACTCAATATGTCGCGAGCGCTTTTGTTGTTGTTCTCCAGTCGGAGAAAACACGCATATGGCCTGTTTTCACACGCTAGCTGCCTCCCTCCCACGGGACTGTGGCTGTGGCGACACTCGGAGTATTGCATATTCTTTTACTGGAAGTCACTATATTTTATAATTTTTTTTTATTACCACTATTATTTTTGCAAAGAAGCGCGGCCAATGCTTTATCAGAATAAACACACGGCCACTAACATATGGGAAGTGATCCGTTTCCAATTGGAGCCAGTCCACAGGTGGTTCCTGGCGGAACTTACAGCGGAACGACAGCGAGCCACAGGAGCCAGTTCAAACTCCGCGGACAGTGGTTCTATTAAATATGGGGACCAGCCGTCAATTCTAGAATTTCTACGAAATTTTAAATTTTGTTATGGCGCGCCGTTGAGGAAATAAACCTAGAAGCGGCATTTTGTAGATGCAAGCAAAAATGCAAGCCTCCCCACGTCGACTATATAACAGCTTGCTTTAAGGCTCTTCTTACGATGATCCTGGTGGATATGACGCGCTCCAGTTGAAGCAAGCCACGTATATAAAGCGTTGGCCTCCAGATGACCCGCAAAGGAGTTGCAAAGGGCACCCAGGCCACGGAACTGGCCGAGCCAGTCCCTACCGCACTCGCAGCGTGCCCAAAACATAGAAACGGGGCTCTGGCGGCCGAGTAGGGGCGGAATATCCCCCATCCCGCCGGGAGAAATCTTATGGCCAACGTGGGATTCAACTCCCCAAGCGACATGTATGTCGCCTCGCTCACATCGTAATATCACTCTCTCCGTAGCACCGAGCCCAGTAACGAGCTACGTATGGTATACTGGAAGCCCCTTATGTTTTGACGATTCGAGCTGACGATGCTGGTATTCTGCGACCTAAGTACGTAGATTGACACCCTACCGAAATGGCTCGTAGGTTAATGCCACCATTGCCCCCGTCCCACTAAAACCATGGCAGGCCTTGAGTAACGCTTGCTATTCGTCGCCATTTTTTTGGTCGTGTAGGCTCAGATGTATATTCCTGACTAGTGCCGATCTGGCTCTGAACTTTGTTTCCCATAAAGAGCAAAGTCAACCCTCGCGTGGACCTCACTCATGGAAAGGCACCCACGGGATCACTAAGGCAACTACACGCACGAACAGCAATAACGGACCCAAGTGGGGACCCAATAGCAATGATTACAACAAAAAAAAAACAACCCCAGTAGTGGATGTAGATGATGAGAAGATACCTTTTTTGCGCAGCTCGGTGTTGAGGCGATCACCACCAAAAGCGGTAGCAATGGCAACCGCGGAGGTGCCAAAATCACCCCAGAGCCCACGGGCAAATGAGCCCCAAATAATTGAAGAAGCCCTGCAAGGCATCGGCATAACAGTGGAAGGCCTGATGGCCCTTATAAATGGAGGCCAGAGACATATCAACCAGCTTGTCAAAGATGAGCTGACCAAGCTACTGTCTCTCCAAAAGGCGGCACTAATATTGTGCACCGGAAAGGAGCGGGCGAACCAGGGAACCCAAACGATGCCACCGATGAAACAGCGCCCACAACTTGGCACCCCCAAAAGGCCCAGAGACCGTAAAGGTAACCAGCGCAGTACACCACCGAAGAAGCTGAGAACGCGGGACCAGGAGCGTGCCACTACACCGACGCCGTTAGTTCAGAGCGAAGACGGCCAGCCAAGCATGGAGCCGGCAACCGCCAAGAAGAGCGCCTGGTTAAAGATGAAAGGTAGCGGACAAAGGAGACGCACCAAACCAGAGGCGATTATTGTCAAAAGCATAGGCGATTTCCAATTTTCTGTCTTGCTGAGGGTGGTCAAAGCGGACCCGACCCT